ATTGCACCATCATGGTGTGGATAATTCCCAGGAAGCTCTCATAAGACGGGAAGATACCCGTGCGGCCAGTCAATGTGTAGCCTTGGAGGAAACCCTGGCACATGTGCTCGCTCAGCACTTCAATGACACGGCCCCCTCGAGCATTGGAGAACTGATCCCATTGGAAGTTCCTTCCGGTGTGATCCAGTGCCGCGTTCAACTTGTTGCTCTCGAGTTCATCGGGCGAGAACAATCGCACGCAGTGGGGATTAAGCTGGAAGACCTCGTCGATGAGCTTCCCGGTTACCTTCATTGCACTTTCTTGACTGCCTTTGTCAACGGCGAACTTTCTCCAATCCGGGAGGTTTGGTGGCACATAAGCCTTGTATGCCTCCACACGTTGACCGAGTTTCTTCGAATCCTCAGAGGGAATCACGGATTTGATCTCGTCGATAACATCTCCGTTTTCCTTGAAAAGCTCCTTGGGGCCGTACGACGACAGCCACTCCTCGAGGGCCTGCAATTCCTCCTTGTCCTTCTTCGCTTTGGGAAGAGGAACCTGGTGCGAATGGAACGACCCCTCAATGAACTGACCGTGCAGTTTCTTTGGTCCCGACCATCCCTATCAGTGACAAGGACGAGCGTTAGCCAGACTGGAGCTCTTCGGTAGGTCACCATTTATGTAGCGGACGTAACGTACCTTTGGAGTGCGCAAGATCAGCAGCGGCCATCTCGGCTTCAAGATTGGCTTTCCAGACCGTGCTGCTTGCTGAATTTTTTGAATTTCGTCGACGGCCCAGGTCATGGAGCGATGGAGATCAGTGTCAATGTCGTTTAAATCTTGAACAATGCGGACCTGGTAACCATAGCCAGTGAAGAGAGATATCAATTCTCTATCGTCCATGCAGCCAAAAATCGTGCGCTCGCTAATCTTGAACCCATTCAGGTGCAGGATGGGCAGCACGGCACCAGACTCAGCAGGGTCGATGTATTTAATCGCATGCCACGATCTACCCAGGTTGTTAGCACCAGAGTCAAATGGGAGTCACCTTTCCCTCGGAGACCTACGTTGCTGTTGGACCTGATTCTGCTTCACCATCACCTACTACGCAAGCGACGATTAGATCGGGATTATCCATGACTGCGCCAAAGGATACCGCAAGGGCGTATCCCAGTTCGCCTCCTTCGTGTATGGCACCAGGCGTTTCAGCGTTGATATGACTGATGCAAGTCAGTTACATCCACGACAGCATTTAGACGGTAAACTCCCACCTTGGCAATCCGGCTGTTGTACTGAATGTCGAGATGAGGTTATGGAGACCCTCGGCGTTTCGTGAGTAGTCAGGATAGAATTTCTCCAATGAGCCCTCCAGCCAAAGAGTGGCTAGGATGGCTGGCGCGCCATGTCCTGGCCCTACGACATAGAGCATATCGAGGTCGCGCGTTTTGATGAGATAGTTCAAGTGTGAATGTACCAAAATCAGCCCGGGACATGTTCCCCAATGGCCTAGGGATAAAGTTAGCGCATGAGCCGGTCTCTATAGGTCAGTCGCAAATTGGAGCTGGCAGTCAATCTTACCAAGCAACCTGGGCTTGATGTCATCGTGCGTCAGGTTTCTCTTCAACAGCACGTTGTCCTGTAGGAAGATCATCGCTGAGAGACATTATTAGTAAGGACACCTAAGTGATGTATAAGCAGCTGTCTCACCTGCAGCGATGTATGAAGCCGCTCGACGGAACTTAAATAGAGCATCGCACGCAGGTTGCTCCAGACTCGTCAGGTCCAATTTCACTTGCAGCTGCTCCACTACATCCGGAATATGGGAAGGCAATGCCTGGGGATTTGGTGTATCAATGAGTTCTCCTGGCATGGTGAAGGCTTTTTCTCCAAATCGAACTGATTTCTGAGTAGAGTTGTATACAATATCCCTGCCAAGTAATCGCGAGTTCGGTCCAAGCGGGTAACGACCAGACGAACGATCGACGATCTCAGGCCACAAGGAAAAGGAATCCGAATAGTCTCCAAGTGAATGAGTCTGGATCAGATAAATAGATGATGCCACTCTACACAGAGTGCCAAATGCATCGTTGAAGTACCGAAGCAGCCGGTTGAAATACTGGCAAGCAACAACAAACTCCCACCGGCACTACGTCACCATGAACCGACCCCTGACATCACCGGGCAAGAGAACAGCGAAAAGAAGACAACACAATGGCCAAACAGTGTTCATCTGTGGTGGTTCCATAAGGTGGGGAATCATCCGACCAGGGAAAATGGCTACAGTATAATATTCCAGTCTGACCGTCAGCAATTATTCAAGTAACGCTTCGCTATCCTGGATTACTCGTTTCCCGTCTTCCCCTCACTGCCTCCAACATGGCACCCAAGACCATTCTCTCCGTCAATGCCGGGTCCTCCTCCGTCAAGATCACTTTCTATACCCTCGAGCGTCCTCCAAAAGTCATTGTAAACGCACAGATTTCCGGGATCACTGCTCCTCCGCTGAAACTGAAATATACGCGGGGCTCAAAGGAGCACAAAGAGGAAGTGGGGGAGCGCCTGTCGACCCCTCAAGATGCATTCAAATTCCTCCTGCAACGCTGCTTCTCTGACTCTGAGTTATCAGAAGTTGCCAGTCCGGAGGATCTAGCGTACATCTGTCATCGTGTTGTTCACGGGGGCGACTACAATGAATCAGTGGTAATAACGGACGAGACTTACCACCGGCTACAAGAGCTCGAGGATCTAGCTCCTTTGTATGTGTGATCTATGACAGGAATCCGCAAAGAGCGGCTAATGATTTCGATTACTATCAGACACAATTTTTCAGCCCTGGAAATCATTCGCACTTGCAAGCAGGAACTTCCCAACGTCAAAAGCGTCACGTTCTTTGACTCTGCCTTCCACCAGACGATGCCTGAACATGTGAAGACTTATCCTATCAACCAGGAGATTGCCAAGGCAAATGGACTTCGTAAATACGGGTTTCACGGGATCAGTTATTCCTTCATCCTGCGGTCTGTCGCGGAATTTCTCAACAAGCCGGTCGAGAAGACCAATATCATTGCGATGCATATCGGAAGTGGCGCCTCGGTGTGTGCGATCAAGAATGGGAAATCAGTGGACACGACGTAAGGCGACGGATCTAAACATTGAAATCGTGGATACTGACGGGAATGGTTCAGAATGGGGCTGACTCCCTTGGCTGGATTACCGGGTGCCACACGAAGCGGTAGTATCGATCCATCGTGAGTGCTTCACTTCGTGTATTTCAAAGCATTATGACTTATCGTTGTCAGTCTTGTGTTTCATTACACCAACGAAGCAGGAAACCTAAGCCCTGCGAGCACAAAAGAGATGCATATCAGCAGAGTGGGTTATCCATCTCTCTCAGCCATCACAGACGAAGCTTATGTTGATCGCTACCCAGGCCGAAGAGATCCTTAACAAGCAATCCGGATGGAAGGCATTGACAGGGACAACTGACTTTTCCAAAATCGCCGTTGAGAACCCTCCATCCCACGCGCACAAGCTGGCTTTCGATATCGTCGTGGATCGCATCCTTGGATTTGTCGGAAACTACTTCGTCAAATTGGACGGCCAAGTGGACGCGATTGTCTTTGCTGGCGGAATCGGCGAGAAGAGCGCTCTGCTGCGCAAAGCACTCGTTGAGAAGGCCCGGTGTCTAGGAGTGGCCGTGGATGCTGCAGCAAATGAGAAGGGACCAGCCGATGACCAAACGGTCCTGGACATCTCGAAGGAGGCCGGGAAAGGACCCCGTGTGCTCGTCTGTCAGACAGATGAGCAGGTGAGTAATTGCCTTTGCCATCATGTTTGAACGGGTAGCTAACACATCTGGTTAGTTTGAGATGGCATATAATTGCATTTTGACTTATGGTAAATGAGTTACCTAATCTAGGCTTTGTCCTTCCCGGAGTTGCTCCGGAGCTTGAGTACATGTTATTCCAATGATAATGGTAACGATGTCGGTCGATGAAGTACCAGCTAGCCTTTATTATGCTTGTCTTCCTTGCATTTTTCCGTTGGTGTCATTCCAAAGTTTGTTCATGGCTGGGATTAGATCGCCTTGATTCCACTGAGCTATATATTCTATTGTATCCGAGCCATTGTCGACAACAGGGCCGCCCCATCAAAATAACAGCATAACTCCCAGGTGCCAGTAAAGGAATAGCAGAGCAGTTCACACACCTGTTGCAGCCCAGAAACTAGGTCTCCATCATCTCCCAAGTAGCGAGTACCAAGTACCATGTGGGACGCAAGTAATTCTACAGCGGATCCAGAGGCGATACTTTCCTAGAAAGGATGGGAGTCATGGTACTTTGGCCAGGCCGGACGAGTCGCAGCAATCCTAATCGATAGATCTGATGTCTATCTGGATTGCACGTCTAATGAATGCAGACTTAATTTCAGGATTTGTAATGATTGGTACAAAACCGACACAATGGATGACCCTCTGATCACACCCTTGCGCCACAGTCCGTGCGTCTATAGCATATCAGAGTGTAGTCTGCGATCTTTCAGCACGGTTGATAGACTCAGTGGCTGTCCAGTGTACACTATCCCCTATCATTTTCGATGTATCATAAGTGATCAAGTAGCATTATCCATAAACAGCTACGCAATTTCGTAGAAATAGATTGGTAGATCAGGGATCCCAGCTTCAGTCGGGATCTACGCCTTGCATATCAAACTAGACGGTGGCGTCCAGTACCGACTATGACAAATTAAAGTACTTCTGCACATCAAGATCGAATCTCGCAGATGCACACACCCTTCCCGATCGGATCTATCGCCAGAGTACTCCATATCCCATCGTCTCTTGGCCAGGCCAGGACTCCCAAAGCGCTACTGAACGCACAGATGGTGAGCAAGCTGTGGCCGAAGTCTACTCCACTGCGAAGACCGCAACAGCGACGGGAGCAGAAACATAGTCAAGGCATGACAGAATCTGCATTAAAACATCTTGATAGTAGTAGACTACGCAAAAAAGCCAAAAAAATGGTCCCTACGAGGGTCGAACTCGCGACCTTGGCGTTATTAGCACCACGCTCTAACCAACTGAGCTAAGGGACCCATTTCTTGAGATATTGCGAGAATTTTGACAAGAAGAGCAGATATGACCTGAAGGGCCTCCGATCAAGCTCAAATGTAGCAGGGTCAGCTTGCTGAAGGTTTCTCTGCGCCTATTTTCCGATGGAAGGCTCATATGTAAGTTGATAGTACTGAGTAGCCATCTTTGAAGTGATCAGCTCGCAAGCTCATACGTAACGAGTGCGCTAATCATGATCGCCGATTCTAGTATCTGGATGTATTAGCCAGCATTGGCCTGGACAGCAGCCTTGCGATTGACTAGCGCCCATTCTTGACTGCAACAATCCAATGGCGGTCGGCCAATATCCCAGACACACTGGTGTTCACTCTATCATTGATAGGTTGCAACTAAAACACAGCTTTATGTTCGTTTGTTGCCGCTCATGATAGCGATATCCTTCCACCATCATGTTCAGAGTCACTATTTCCCCCTTTCTCCAGCAATAGCGGAACAACACCGGTGTTGCTGTTTGCTGCAGCCCATGCTAGCGGTCTGTTAGTATCTGACAGATGAACTTTGCCAGTTCCTAGGAGATATTGAACAGTGCCCTTGTGCCCATTTGAAGCAGCGCATGATGGCGATGCGAGGCCATCGTTGTCTTTGGAGTCCGCCTCTACACTGACAGATCTTGATGGGCACACTCAGTGAGATTTCATGACCATCAACGGCAGCACAAGAGAGCAGAGTTCAACCGTGTGTTTCTTTCTCATGCCAGGTCGCGCTTCATGCTCAAGAAGACTTACAACAGGTGGTGGCCATGCCTTGGAAGCGGCATGACTCATCATCTCTTTACATCAAGATCAGTCCTCTCGTCCATTGACGACAGTCCCACTGCAGCATATGGCAAGGCTGTTTGCCTTCTGGATCAGTCATATTGACATCTACTTCGTGAGCGAGGAGTAGTCTGATGGCTGTAGGATGTCCAGCAGCCGCAGCATATGAGAGTGTCATTCTTCTTGTTCGGCTGCTATCCTTAGCTTGCGTCAGAGTCATTCTAGAGTAATACGCCAATGATTTCTGCATTTCCGCTCATAGATGCTTAGGATAAGGCGTTTCACCCTTGTCTGGCGCTGGCATCTGGCGAATGCGACGAGCATAGGTTTCCAAGTATCACATGCCAAGACGCATGCATGGGCGTCATTGGAGCACTAATTTCCCGCTCAGTTCATAAAAACACGGAGGTTTTCCCACCAAGGTCCTTTAGCTCAGTCGGTTAGAGCGTGGTGCTAATAACGCCAAGGTCGCGATCGACCCTCGTAGGGACCATCTTTTTGCTTCTTGTATTTTTCATGAGTGAAAATACTCAGGTGTCTTTGAACTCCTAGACACGGCGACGTCAGCCGGATCCAACTCCCAAAGCAAGATCCTTCTCTTGGAGCCAATAGTCAATAATCCAGCTGATCAATTCCCGTTCTAGAACCCTCAACCGTAGCTCTGGGACTGGCTGCAGTTCCCCGGCTCTAGCGCATATATGGATTCCTTCGTACGTGGCTTATATAAGGTCAATATGTAGATAGATAGCTCCTTCTTCATCTACGGAGTACTTCTTGTAGCACTTATTAATATTGGTAAAATGCACAGGGCTTGCATTTGAACTCTATCTCATGCATGAAACTCATGACCCAGGTCATTGGGTAGGTGATCAAGATCATGATCATACAGATCTATTACTTGACGCCTGAGATACTACTCCATAGTAGGGAGTACTTTTTGTCGACTGAATTTGAGTCCCGGAGCCATGCATGATGCCACCTTATCTACCATTCCAGAGTATCCTGGGGCCAGTGGATAGTGGCTAGTGGATACTGGACCGGCATGCAGCAATCTTTTCATTTTCATCATGATAGGTGGGTTTTGTATTGTTTTGATCGATGTGCTCAGGCATGCTCCTTGCATGCAGCCCGATACAGGTTTCCTGGAATTAATGGGCTTTGGACTAGTCTGGATACGGAGTGATAAGAGTCGGATTTGGTGGCTTGTATTCACTATCTACTAGTATCTACCCACAGGGATGTTTGACGGAGTGGCTAGTGCAATCATCAGCTGGGAGTTGAGACTTTTCAGAGAGTGATCAGCAGTGCACAGTATTGTGAGTGTCTGTAGTCTGCGCTACTGCGGGATTAGGAATGTCGTGGTGTGGCAAATTAGTTACTCCTGAGGATTATGCATATGGGGGCGGGAATCATTACCGATTGCCTCACTACCACTAGTACTACTAGCAAACTTCGAGCTTGGGTTTGAGGTCTTTGAGGTCAGAAAGTGGAGAGTAGGCCCATTCGCAAAGGATACTCAAAATTAGAGAAACATCTTAGAGGCTGGAAATCCAAGAAAGTCATCGAGGGTTATCAGAGCTATTGATTGGCCAGGTAAACTCACCTAACCTCCCTGTCTCAGATCCTATCCAACAGAACTTCCTGCAAGGATTCAAGCAAATAGCAGTCGAAGATTCCAAATATGTCTGTCTCACAGCAGACTGTTATCATGCTTTATTGATGATTCAAATTTGGGGGTTCATTACGCAGCGTGCAAGAAGCAGATTGCCTTCTGGGTCTGGATTTCGGAGTTCGCTGACTTCCATTTGAAGCATTGATCAAATGGGGAGAAACTTGCAGCATATATGTGCGGATTGCAGAAACTGGGTATGAAAATATTGTCTGCTATTAATCTCACTTGCAAGTAGCAAAGTTCGTCAGTCACTAGAATGGAGGCAGTTCCACTTCTCATTGGTCATCCATCAATAGGTACCTAAGGTATTCCGTACTTGTTTGTCTGTTGTGGACTATCGGTACTTACCCCATATTTCCAGCTCCAGTCGTAATTCCTTATTCGGAAAATAGACAAGTTTCAGCGTGATGATCGGCTATCTGATCAAGAAGATGAAAAGCAATAATGTCATGCCAATCAATGACCATTGGGACATTATTGCAATAGCCATACATTGCCAAGCTAGTAGTAAAACCGTCGTCCGTCTGTCTACCTTAGTCGCTGCGGAAAGGGGAAGGAGGGACAGCCAGTTCCAAAAACCAAAGAGGTAAGCTCAACGGTTCTTAGCCTTTTTTCGCTAGAGACCAAAGAGCTGTGTAGTTTTCATGGTTCTAACCGTGTGCACGGAGTAAAGTTTTTTTTTTTTTTTTTTTTTTTTCCCTGTATTCTTAATTTGTCTCGCATCAATCAGGTGATGTTGGTGCTTGTATTGATGGTGCACCCGACGTAATTATTGACCGGAACAGAAGTATTTACTGTAGAGTACAGACTACAGAGAGCTAGAGAGACAGAGACGCACATGGCCACATGCAGCGCTAAGGGGCTACATGAGTTCATGGTACGATCTCCAACAAGCTCCCGTAGCGGACAGAACCACGGTACCATCCCGACGGGACTTCTAGAATCGTTCTGGAAGTTTGGAATCCAGAACATGAGGGCTGAAGCTGTCCGTCGGGGAGATCCACAGAATACCTAAGCTGTCAGCCACAATGGACTGCAGAGTGAGGCTGCAGGTTGTCGGAAGATACGGAGGATTTCTCTGACACTTGGCTGTTAGCCCCAGGCCAGTTTGCAACATTATGAATGGGCATGGATGACCATGTCCGATCGATTCAACCCATCATTCAGCAACAAATCAATCAGAGATTTCACGGATCGCGTCAATGTCTCATATTTGATAGAGGTCAAAAATACGAAGCTTAGTTTCATGGGTAATGTTTCCAGATCATCTCTATCAGCCTCGTGGTCAATCAGTCATGGATGTGATCCTCTACGAGTCCTCCGATGAAAGGCTGAGAGAGAAAAATACGATCGTGCTAACTATGCTCTAATAATATCCAAACATGAGCCGCGTTGGCGCATCGAGGTCCATCAAAGAACAGTCTAGGCAATCTGGAGCATTTTCTTCTGCGACCAGTTCACCCGACGCAATGCGCTTACTGGCAGACACAGAGAAACACCAAAGGATAGACTCTCTGGTGGATTCCTGCGGCGACGCGGGAGCAACGCCAGAATATGCCGGGTCAATGGGAGCAATAACTCTGGAACCTGGCTGACTTGTGGCTGGTAAATTGAGCTGGTACAGAAAACAGATACGTACACTGTAGATACCTCAACGCAGCGCAGGATGGTGCAAGGTACAGTACAGCCAGTACCGTAGAAGCCTACAATAGAAGGATTCCATCCTTCTGCCGCGGCTCTCCGTTTTCCCTCCGCCCCATAGTGGCGATGGGCGAGGCTCAGCTGGAAGCTGTGTAGATGGCCATGTGGTGGAGAACTAGATGACTGATTTAGGTACTTTAACGCGCTTGATGTATGATTGGCCGAACGGCGGGAAACCACTCATGTCCGGTCTCCAGGGATCTTGAACCTTTTAAGGGGAAGGCGTCAGGTCTGTCAGAATAGTTCCACTTCCTAAGCGGAGCCGTTGGATAACGCGTTCTAGAAGCTGTACTCCGTAGCCTGTACTCTGTAGGGCTTGAGTACTCATACTAGGCTCTACTGGTAACTATCAGTCCACCAGAAATTGATTGCCAGTCTGCCAGCCGTTTGATTTCTGAGAGGGTCTCGCGGCCACGCGGGTACAGACAGTAGGGCAAGACGCTAGAACGACTAGAAGAACCCGAGAAGAATGCTAGCTTCACATGGAATACGTAGACTAGTCCAACGGGGGCGGAAAACCAGACTGAGTGGATTGGTTAGTTTTCTTACTGTACGGTCTGTACCTTAGTCTGTACCTACCTACCTTAGGTGGCCCCACTGCCCCTTTTGTCGACTAGCCCGATTTCCCCAGCGACCGGGAGTAACAACCACAGTCGCCAATGTCAACTTGACACAGACTAGAAGAAAACATAAAAGAATACAAGACAACTATGTATCATATCAACATTATGCTCTCATTCGATACGTCGACGTAAAATACCAAAAGAATCCTGGAACATGTCAGAGCACATGATGTCCGGAACATGTTCAATGATCAATGTCTGACCTGATGTTTGACTCAATCAGGCGAAGTGGACCAAACTAGGGGAAGAATCCCGAATCAATAGTCGCCCATCATGGTGGACTTCCCGAGACTAAGTACCCAGGCAGTAGGGCGGGAAGCTTCTGGATTGGTTCTATTTATCCACTTTACGGCTGTTGACTTTTAGGGGCCTTAAAGGGTTAAGATCAGCCATGGAAGCCCCGTACTTCCAGAGTCTACGGTATGTCATCATCAAGGAAAATTGCGAGTGCTAATATTTTGCGCCGGAATATGCAGGATAAGCTAAGCGACAATTACACAGATCTCCCAGGCCATTGAGCATTCTCATGCATGGGATAGCTTATTTCAACCAAGGCTTGAATGGAAGGATTCTCATTCTGTAAAAATATCAAGAAACTCAATGGCTCCTTAGCATATCGTGGAGATACCTGCATTCACCCACCCAAAGGACACCTACTAAGTTTGCTTTGAGCCACTGAGAATACAACAATTTACCTGGAAAATTAGGAGTTTCAACCCAGAACACCCGTCTGGAGCGATCATACTGAACACGGTTAGAAGCAGGAAGATAGCTTGGAAAATTCAAGGGTAGGGCTTACGGGGATCACAAGATAATTCCGGTAGTACTGGAGTAGGTAGTACGTAGATAGGTAGGCAGTAGGCTATGGATATTAGTCAATTCTCTCAGCCGTTTCCGCCTCACAGGAAAACCACGCGACAGAATCGGACGCAATGCGGATGAGATCATGAGCCTAGATAGGCGGAGTAACTTTGGGTTGAATTCGGATCCATCCGTTCTGTTCCTGGTGGGTGACTGGGTGTCTGGGTCCCCACCCAAATGCATATACCCAGTCCGTCGTGTCCGAAGAATCGGTTCCTGCTTTCTAGCTTTCTTCCAAGTGGAGAGCTCGAATTTTCTTTGCTTTTTCTGTTCTGGATCTGTCTGGCTGTCCTGCTACAAGTCGTTTTGTCTCATCCTTTCGGATTTTCATCGGGCCTGCAATAACGCCTCGCGGACAGGTACTTCAACTCTGAGTACCTAAGGTATTAAGCACTGGGATTGCTTGCTTGATGGCTGGGTACGGTATTCCGTGAGATAGCTTACACACGTCTTCTGAGTCAGGAGGAACGGGTTCATCCTTGCTAGTGGTCTCTGCTTACCTCCGAGGTCCAACGGAATGATTTGGAAGACTTGTAGGCGGGAAGAAAGAAAAGTGACAGGTGATAAAAGTACAGTTACTCACTGTCAGCAGGTTGGATGGCTCCAACGAAGACAAGAAGGTTGGGTTGGGTGGAC